TAGGCTGCCGTCATAAAGTTTATGTCTGCATCTTCTCTGCAGGTGTAATAGGGATCCAGCAGCCACGTCGCATGGGAGGCATCTTTTGGGTAATCAGAGCAATTTGTGCTGTCTCCTTGACTTTCCCTGGCAACAAGAATTCCTGCACTTTTTCCAGCAGCTGATTCAAAAGAGGTTAGTCCTACATTAGAAGTGTTTAACCTTCTTCCCACAGCAGTGTTTACTAGCTATCCTTCGCTAACACAGTTAAAAGGTATGAGCTTCCTCCCACAGAGGACTAATGTTTTTGAAACTCCTCTCCACACCATGAATTACAAAGGGCCAAAAATCTTATGATTGCTCCTGGGCTTTCTTCAAGAGACCTGGCACTGGTTAAAACTGCTCACATAACTTATCTATCTACCTACCTACAATTCACACAGACACAGAATGTTAGAGGCTGGAAGGGACCTCGAAAGACCATCTAGTCCAAACCCCCCTTGCCAGAGCAGGATCAAATTCACTTTCATGACTTTTTCAAATCATCAAAACATGCATAAAATCTAATAAAACTAGGTAAAATACGTCCCAGCACCCCTGATCTAAGCTAAGCTTCTTCATTAATGGTAACTGGCCTCAATATACAGGCCGGCCTCATGAGTGTTATCTCCCCAGTCATTTTTATTTCAAAACCAAAAAGAACAATCTTTTTAAAATCTAAACCAAAACTTGAACTCTGCAGTTAACTATAAAAATCTCAAGAATTCTGATATCTTTCCTATTCCATACAGACCCATAGATATAAACTGCCAAGAGGAAGGTATTACTCCTAAATCCATATCTAGGTCAAGATAACTATTTTGGAGATAATGTAAAAATTACGTGACTTCTTCAAGACCACAAGAAATTAATGACCTGACATTTAATTCTATTTCTCTGATAAAACTCTGGAGCTCAAGGAGTATATTGACTGTTGACTTTACAGACTGTCTGACAAACAGGTTACAAGTGGGCTATTAGTAATCTCGATCTTTCCTGGCCTACAGAGAAAGAAAAGCTGTGCAAGATTATGAAAATGTCGTCGCAAGAGGGGAATCTAATACAACAGATTTATTTTCTCCTCTTTTAAAATATAATCAGCTGGGTTCAAGAAGAGATCCAGGGAAGACCCGATCACTCTCTACAACTACCAAAAGGGAGGTTGTAGAGATGTGAGGATTGGTCTATTCTCCCTGGTGAGGAGTGATAGGACAAGGGGAAATGGATTTAAATTGCACCAGGGGAGGTTCAGGTTAGATATTAGGAAGAGTTTCTATACTAGGAGGGTTGTCAGCCATTGGAACAGGCTGCCCAGGGAGGGGGTTGAGTCACCATCCCTGGAGGTGTTTAAGAGACGGGTGGATGTTGCGTTGGGGGGAATTGTTTAGTAGGTTGATAGGGCTGGGACAGAGGCTGGACTCTATGATCTTCAAGGTCTCTTCCAGCTGAAACTATTCTATGATTCTATTTATTCACCTATCAAGTCAGGATAAGCGAACCAAATACAGGTATAGGAGAATACTATTTTGCGTGACCTGAGCCAGGGAATCGACATGAGGAATATAAAAAAGCCCTTGAAAACTGTTCTCTAGGAAGTTCCCAACAACACAAATGAAAGGAAACACGTACACATCTACAGCATAAAACTATACAGAAAATCCTCGCAATAAAACTAATAAAATGCATAATCTACCTTTTATCTTGTCTGCATTTGTGTCAAGTTTACAGTAGAAGCATGCTAGCTGATAAAATAGAAAAATGTAGCCCAAACCCCACATAGTGGTGACAAGCGAAAGGCAGATCTGACCAAGGCTCTGTATACTCCACTATTCAAAAAGATCCCACCTTCTGCAATACAGACTTTCCAATTCTCCACAGGAAAGTAAAAAGCCAGTCACCAAAAATACCAAACTGGTTACCTGGTCAGTTTTTAATCAATACTTTTACTAATACCAACTCATCATCAAAGGGGACATAATGTATTTGACAGAATCTTTGAATAAAAAGGAAAAGCTACTGTTGGGAACACAGATTATTCACGGCCTCTAGGTGCCTGGCTGTCAATATTCAGCTCAGGCAGGGAGGACACACAGAGCCGGGTGTTGAAGTTTCACCTTTCCAGATCCCAGCTTGGCACATGCAGTCCCAGCTCTCTGACCCTCACTCATAGAAACAGGGAACGAAGTCACAAGATAAAAACCACAGAGAAAGTTGTATTATGGGTGTCCCGAGCACAGGATGTTATGTCTAAAGGGATCCCAGGGCAGTCAACTGTTGGGGCCACTTGGAACTGCCCTGGCAATGCTGCAAGATGGATGCCCGCTTTCATAACCCTCATTCTGGAAGCCTACTCAATCCTTCTCACATAACATTCCTCACATCCCTAAAGCAACAGGCATTTTCCAAGGGCAAGAAACACAAGAGCGCAGCTTCTAGCTCTCGCGTACCTTCGCTAATCACGCCATCAAAGATCCGCAGTGGCAGCTCTAACGAGCCAGAAGAACCCTCACGTACTCGGGAGGCGGTGGTAAAAAAGAAAAGAAAACAAAAAACCCCCCCAAAATCCCGAGAGCACGTTCTTCCCTCGAGGTGACTCCCTGCGAGATGAAGGCAGCAGGGAAAGGTAGCGGCAGCCAAGTCGCAGGGGAGGTGATAAAATGTCAGGCTCCTGGCGGTACAAAATGGCAGCCAAACTCTGGCGCAAGGCCAAGCTGCTCAAACAGCGATTCGGGGGCCCATAATTACAATTAGCATAATAAGAGAGCGGTACAACAGCTACCTAGTTACTCTGAAGGGTCACGGAGAAATCATAACAAAGCAAAGTTTTAAGGAGAGGCACAAAAGGAAACAATGACGTAGCCGCTCGGTGGGTTTTACCCGGAGGTTCTTCCATGCGTGAAGCGCGTCCCAGGAGAAAGTACAAAGACTTGTTTAAGAGATCAGGCTCTGAATCAAGAGCAGTCGGCCGTGCCTGCAGAACTCAAAACGGCTCCACGACATATAAAAGATCATATGAAAAGTGTGACACTGAAGACAAAAAGAACTTGCGAGAAAAATAGGCTGTTTGTGTAAATCTGAATTAAACTTGGGCTCAATAGAGTCAGTCAGGATTTCTTCCTTTTTAGTCAGAAAAGACTGTTTTCTCCTCAAACGAAGCAGAAGAGATAAAAATATGAGAAAAATTAACAAACAAAATCTGAACATTCTGATATTAGCTTTTTTTTTTTTAATGAATGTCACATAAATAATATTTGCAGATCCATTGCTTCATGCAATTAGGCAGCTGTCCAGGCAAAATTAATTAGAGCTGTAATAAAAGTAATAAACATCAAGTTTCAGACTTAAAGCTATATGGCTACGTGAATTTCTGGATTCACTTTACTTTTGTATATCTAGGGGAATTTACAGACAGAGTTGAAGTTTAAAAGAAAAAAATCTCTTTGCAAACAGAAAGATTTGAGTTTTCACTGAGATCTGAATTCCACAGAAGACACTGAGAATCTGTGTGTAAAAACCCCGCCCTTATTTAGCAGGCACAATGTGACCCTCTGTGAAGAGAAATTTTACTGTTTACACACTGTCACCTTCCTTTTTCCCTATGTTGCTTCTGTCTCTCTTTGCCATTACCACAGATATTAAGACTCCTGTGTAGACAAGAAATGCTTCTCCCAAGGCAAGGGCAACTCCTTCCCACAGAAGACAGCCATATGCTGTATCCCCAGTGTCATTCATCACGACAACCTAAATTACAAGTTAATTCTGCCATTAGGATTCTCCATCTCATTTGTTATCATATGGCATCAGACAGAACATCAACTGAAGATAAGCCTTTTGGATTTGAGAGGCTAATGCAGTCGGATGGGTAAAATCCCAACCCTTGTTATCTTTCCTTTGCGTTCAAACATCATTTTTCCCCTGCCTAAAATCCACAGTCACGAGTTTCTTCTACCTCTGAAAGAAAACAACAAAATGCTGGTTTTTTACACCTGCCTGTTTAACTGAAATCCACTTTTAGAATGTAATAAACTTACGGCTTCCAACTGCAGGCATCCCCAAAAGGGAGATCAGGCACTCAAATATCTACTGTCATAAATCCTTCCCGACAGCAATACCTGACAAACATGATTTTAAATTAGGCTTTTTCTAGCTTAATCACAGCTTTTCTGTGTACACCAACAGACTTTGACACGCACTCGTGCAAGATAAACTCAGGGACATACACCTAAGGCACACATCTTAATTCTCATTTGCAGTGCCCCTTGTACACCATCAGAACATCTAATAAAAACAATTTATCCCATAAGAGTTCACCAATCAGTAACATGTTTCAGGACACAAATTCAGGGAAGCACACAGTGATTTTCCCAGTTAAGACAGTTGCTTATTGAACTTTTCATCTTCTTGTTAATAAACCCTGTATTTTAGACCATTTTAGAACATCCATTTATTCCTAGGAATAGCTGTGTATCTAATGTAACATATTTAGGAAGAAAAATGAGAATCTCTCGTGACCAGTAATTTTGCGTAAATGACTACACATATAGTATTGGGAGGAAAAAAGATACCTTACTGTTAAGTACTATTACGACTGAAGAAGTAAGAGAACATACTCTATTTGTCTTTCAAATGCAGGTTCTAAAAGGCTGACTTGTAGTGATTCTTAGTTCTGGATTTTGCTACTGTTCACAGTTAAATGCATTACAATCGATGACAGAGCACACGTCAGCCGGTAGCACAAAGTAAGATCTTTGCTTCTTAAAAAAAAAAAAAAGTACTTTGACAGTAACAAAAAAAATTCACAACTGATTGCTCTATATTAAATACCTAACTGTCTGTAATGAAAACACAAATCCAGGAGTTTTTGTAATCTCACCCATCCTGTAACTCAGAAAAACAAAGAACAAACTAATCAAATGTCAAGGCTGAAATGCTCAAAGTCGTAATCTTGACTTGCTCATTTAAACAAAAGGTAAGTCACTTACAGAACTGGATGAACAATCAGCTCTGGACTATATGATTTGATTACTGTTGCTGCATCTTTGGTACAAAACACATGGGATAAATCTGCACCCTAAAAAAGAAAACGTGCAAACAGAATTACCAAATTTATACTTAATCATGACTTTATAATTCCCAATTTCTCTCAGTGAATAATTCACCTGAATTCCTACTTCTCAGTAGTTAAAGTAAAGTTAATTATTTTTTCTACTTTGGCTTAGACTACTATGCAATATTTTGAAGAAAATTTTTGTATCTAACTTTTTTCTCACTGATAGGATGACCAAAAAACACAGATCCTGAACCTTTACTCACTTGAGAAATGTTTCTCACTTGCAGATGAACAAAGATTAAAACGTCACAAGTACAGTAACAAGAAAGGCAAAAGAACACAGTTGAACAGGAGACAAGCTACATTAGAGAGGAAAAATAATACTGTCATATACTTGCAAAATACAGCTATGTGGTACCATATGAGTACATTTCCAGTCCTACCATTTTTACTCAATGGGCCAAATCCATACTAGATAAAGGCTGGCACAATTTCCACAACACCCATTAAGTTAAATAAACCTTAAAGCTAAGGAGTTTAGCCTCAAGCTTCTGTTATCAACTGAAAAAGAAAAAAAATCAGACATACAGCAAAAAAATATGTAAGCAGGGACTAGGAAGCCTTATCTTCTACCTATCTTGCATATTGAAATTTCCCAAGGTTAAGAAAGTGTCTCTCCTGCTTTACTACCATACATTTAACATCTCAAGATACCAAGCAATGCAGAGATTTGACCCTATGATTCTTCATGTGCAGATATAATGATCTGAAATCAAGTGACCTCAATAGGGGACCTCCTGGTATGCTGCTGTATTTGCACATAGGAACATAAAGGACAGAAAGCTGAGTGGCCTTAATATCTTATCTAAGATAAAAAAATAATATCATTTCAGTTTTAAATGCTTCTGGAACTGCATCCTTGGCAGGGGGAGGGGGGGTAAGGGGAGGAGGGGGTGTGGAATCACCTGCATTGGTTACGTACTTACTGAAACAAGTCTTCAAAAAGAAAAACATACACAATGAACTGGAAGTATTGACACTCTACATACAGAGTACTGAAAAGTATATGTATTATGTAAGCACGATTTATTTACATTTGAATAATCACGACTGTATTTATGTAGTCTGCAGTAAATATTTTAGTGACATACTAACTGGCTGAAAATAGAAGAAAGTTTACACTTTCAGAAAAAAAAAGCTTAGAAAATACTTCTGCTAAAGATTAAAATGTAAATAAAATGTGCTATTAAAAATTACATTAAATTCAACCAACACCCTAGACTTACAGCACATAAGAATTTTACTAGCACCAACCTGTAAGCTTTGAAAGTTACTTCATACACTTATTAGGTCCAGAAAAAAAATCTAAATAATCGAGTGCAGTGCTGAAAACATAACTTTAAACACTAATCTGAAGTTATTTTATCGTTCACTTTTGGAGAAAATATTTCATCAAGTTTTAAAGTTTCCTATCCAAGTCTCTGACAAAACAGTTCTCCCTCTGAAATCTTCAAATTTTTCTCATGTCTAACTTTACCTTACACAGAGAAAATATTTACAGAAAACACAGCAAGTGCAACATGCTTCCAAAATATTTCTACAAATCCAGGACTAAGGATTTTCTTTAATAGAAGACCTTTTAGAACTCCCAATTTCACATGTAGCACAAAATAAATGCTTTTAGAAAATGGCACTTAGCCAATAAAAATGATGAAAAGTTCATTTTGGATTAGTATAGACACGTACCACTTTGAGAGCTGTAATTGCAGCAAAATACGGTGCTCCAGTGTATCTAGAACAAAATACAATTCAGGTTAGGAAACACAGTCATAAGACTAGATAATTTGGAACTCAGTCTGCCATAATGAAGTCCCAAATTCAAGAGCAAATTTTAAAAAAAACCCCCACCTTTCTCTTTGCTGTAAAAGGCAGATAAAAATCCTGCTATACCAAAGCCAATTTCAAGCCCTACTTTCACTTCAAAGGCAAAGGATTTCACCTTGGCCACCTGATCCTTTCACAGAAATATTTACAAAGACCACACCATAAAAAAAACCAAACTCTTCTCAGACAAACAGAACAAAACCAGAGTCGAGCACTGTTTCCAAGCCAAAACTGGGAGCTGTGACCTGGATCAATCCCACCTGGTTTTAGACACTTAAAGTGCCCAAACTGTGATTCCAGTTGCCCTCAATTCTCCTTATGATGATGGATGAGAGAGATGGTCAGAATTGCCCTCCGGAGGTGTCTACTTCTGCCAAGAAGTAAGGACCCACACCCTTCAGAGCAACAGGACAACTAACTCCTGGCTCAACAACCCCGTTCTAAAGACAGCACCTTTTTGCTCTTTATAGAATGTTTATGAATGGTACATGTCCAACAGCAGATCTCTTTTATAAAAGAAAGATACCCTCTCTATTTCGAAAGAGGAAAATGAAAACCAGGGAGGTGCAGTGGCTCATTCAAAGTATTGTGCAGATTACTGAATGTGGCCAAGAAAAGAACAGAGCCTGATTTATTTCTAGGTCAGTACAGCATTTAACTGATTTATGCTCTATCTCGTTTTTCTCCTGAAACATTCTATTTCTGTTACTACCGAATATAAACCAAGGTATTGACAGAATCTAGGAAACGTTGCCATTTATCAAAATAAAAAGCATGCAGAAAGAAAATATTCTACTCCTGATTTAAGAGATACAGTTCCCTAGATACTCATACATTATCTATATAAAAAAATCAGATGTGCCACTGTCTTACTCTATTCAACTTATTCTGTAACTTCAACATGCAATGGGAAAAGACTAACGCCGAAAGCAGAGGAAGTCTGGTGGTCAAAAAAGACAGAGACGGTAAACACAGACACAAACACCAATTCCAAGTTTCAACCATATTTGCTACCAAAACTTGAGAACACAACTGCAAGAAAACAGCTTTCCTAAGTCTACAAAGTCAAGACGATGGACTAGTAAAGCTCTCTGGAAAATACTCATATTGTAAACGTAAGTTTCTACAAGTACTTTTGAAATTCTCAAACTCTCTCAGAAACAAAAATTAAATTTCTATTTAACTTACTCTTGACATCCTCCAACAATGCCTATACGTCCATCTTGACCTTTATGCCTTTTCCCTGTTAGAGGGGGGATAACATTGCGCACCAGCTGAAAAATATTCTCCATATCCTTTAGAGAGTGCGTTCTGTGCAGTGAAAAAGATCTCTCTATAACTGAAAAGAAGAAAATAAGTGTTATTTTAAAGTATGTTCTCTCTTAAACTCTCATCACCATTTCTTTTAAGCACTCATAAATACAAATAAAATCATTCCAATACACAGAGTGATATAGTTCTAAAAACAAACACTTTGTCACTTAAAGGCCTTTAAAACAGTGAGTAACTAGGGAAGGTGATCATTTTAAAAACTAATTTAGAGTCTGATGCAGAGAATATTCCCAGAGAATATCTCCTCGGAGTCCTAACTAAGGGCTCAGGTCCAGAAAGAAACAACAGCCCAGAATAGTTATATGAACATTTTGTAACTAGAAATATCTTCCTAGTTCAGACTGAAATCACGCCCACAATTAAGCTTAACTGAAAGAGGTACACTTAGCATACACTCCAGACACAGAGCAAGCACAGAGCAATTAAATCCACATTTTAAACATACATCCTACCTTATTTTTCATTTCCCTTTAAAGACTTCCACCTCTTAGCAGAATCAGGGCCTACTCACTGTTTGTTGGGTTTTCGTTTTTTTTTTTTTATTTTGGCAAGAGGTTACAAGGCATAATGAAAGTCTTTCTGCAAAACTATAACTCAGTGCGCTAGGTGCAAACATTACAAGTATCCCACAAAGATAATTTTTAGCTATAATACAATTACAGATCTCTGATGCACAGCTACATATTAAAACAACTGCACACTCAGAAGGCTACATATTCAAGTTACTGTTTCAAAAGACTGCAACAAATTCAGAATAAAAAAGTATTTTAACAATTGTAACTAAAAAGAATTAGACCATATACCTAACGTGGGACAAATCTGAAAATCAGTCCTTCTATCATCAATGTGCTAACTATAAATTGTGGTAAATACACTAAAAGAATAAGTTCTTATAACAAAGCTCCTTATTAACTGTACAATTATGTTTAGAAGAGTGGTTTATTTGAACGCTAGTACTAGTCTCCTAGACCATAGCTCTGTTTACCTTATTTTTTACAGTTCTAAATGGCTTTCAAGGAAGTGCTATACAGTAATACATAATTGCATAAAAACTGACTCCCACAATACTCCTTATCTTCAGCTGCATAAAATATAGCATTCCCACCCCCAACCCCAAAATCTAGAGGGTAAAAAAAGAATAATAAACAAAGGAAGATAAAAGGAAAACCTGTTTTAGAAACTTTGGACATTATAACAGGGAAAATGTAATAAGCAAGAAAATTCCGCATCTGTGTGCCATCAACAGAAAACATCTTTATCTCCATCTTCCACAGAATCTAACCCTAAACCAAACACACTAATGTTCAGTAACAAAATGCTTTAGTGTTCAGTAACGATAAATGCTCCTGGCTGATCTTTTGCTTTTAAAAATCCTTCTCTAATACAGGCATCACTACTGAGATTATTTAAAAAAAAAAAAAAAAAAGGTAAAACACACCCGGTTTTGGATTACAGCCAAAATAGCATTGCAGTGACCCTGAAGAGAACAAAATGCTCATCTCCTCTGGAAATAGGACAGATTATTTTCTTTAAATCACACTTCATACACTCAACTGGTTTTCAACCACAGAAGAAATACCACATAGCGTGTAACCCTTAAAGTGTTGCTAAGTGTTTGTTAAGAAGGTCTTCTGTTTCTTTGTTGCTGATGTGTAAATATAAAGTAATTGCACAATAAATAGGAAGAAAACAGAACTGTGCTAAAAGCAATTCTTAATAGAGTCCCACTTACCTACACAAACATTAAGGTATATTTAGCTATAAACAACTGAAAACTTAATTCCTTAAAAGATGTGCTGCCTGAAGCGTTTCCACATTTTATTATAAACGCTTTGTTACACCTTCACCAATTAAAAGATTAGAATCCCATCTTGCTCTTGCTACTGTTAAATATATAAAATGCATTTTTGCACAACATAATATGATTGTACATCTATATGACAAAAAACAGCAAGAAAAGCTAAATTTCGGTCTCTTTCAGAAAAAAAAAAATCTTTCATAAGTAATGGTAAGGCCTTGTAGGTACCACTCCGCTCTAGAACCTCAAAAGATTCCCTAAGGGATTTGCTAAAGCACTTCAGGCTTCCTTTTCATTTAAAAGTGAAAACAACATTTAAAATTCAGAATCCATATGTATGCTGCAATTTATCTACAAAAGCCTACTGCCATCAAGGAACACTACAGACCCAACTACTCAGTCAAGAAGAAACACAACCAGGTCAGGAAATTAAACCCTCAACAGGCCCAACCAGCCAGTCCCCTGCACGTTCTATGGAGAAATGCAGTAGTTAACATACAACTGAAAAGGCTCCAAAATCCTCTCAGGAAATCAGAAACGCCCTTTAGGACCTGGCACACGGGATCATTATTCAACACTGAGGCTGGGCGGTGTTTTGTTTCTTCTTTTTTTTTTTTTTTTTTTTTCCTCTCAAACAACACTTTTTTTTCCTTCCAAGCAGCGTGAGATTTGTAATTAAAACAGAACAAGACCTGTTCCATTTCCACCCAGCAGACTACAGCCACCAAGCCCCAAATGGACAGAGTATCCCTGTTTTCCTCCTGCCCATGGCTACCTCCACAAGCGAAGAGACTGTGACAAAGTAACACGGAGCCACAGATCCCGAGAAGTCTGTCAACTAACGCTAATACCTGATTATCAGCTTCTGGCCCACACAAGTACAGAAGGAAAAGTCTGTGCATAATACCAATTCTAGAGTTACTGTTTTGCCTTTTTCTTTAAACTAAGTTTAGATGCTCAAGGAATTTAAAAATGAACTGGTGTAGAAGAAACATATATATGGCAATATTTTCATCTTCTATTACACCTACTCCAATAATATGATGTTTAATTAAATATTCATAATTTTGATTTAAATTAATTTTAAAGGAGATGGATTTTAACATTTGACTTACTTCACTGCAGGCAAAACTCCACTCTTTTCCCCACCCTGAAAAAACATATGCACAGCCTTAACTTCAAATACTGAGCTACGCCTGTCAACTTCAAGAGCAGCAGAATTTCTGCTACAGGGTGCCTAATGTACCCAGAAAGCTTTCAGCAGATGTGCTACTTGCCTTTTACACATCAAACTTCTCCTAACTTCACTTTACAGAGACTTGAATGTGGAAAGAAGTCCCTGATGTTTATAGGGTTTGAAAGGTGTGATTTTGCTCAGTAAAATCTGTTGTAACTAATGTATTTAAACAATCAGTAACATGGTACGAATGATGTTTTACTTTCATTTTATATCAGACAGACACCTTCACCACAATATGAAGTAATTCCAATTACCTTTTATTTCCAAAAGCTACTTACTACCAGTGCTTTCACACAGAGGTTTAAAAAAAAAACCAAGCTTTTTATTTATGCTATAGAAGGAAGTACCTATCGGTGGCGAAAGTGCTGCTGTCATAGCATTATAATTAAAGTTATCCCCATACGAACGATGGTTCGCTCTCTGAGGTGGACTCGCTGGTATAGATTGTGACCTTTGTGATACCGTAGAAGAAATTCCTGCCAACATCTGTCCCAACATCTGTAACATCTGGAGCTCTCGAGCATGCTCAGCTTCCCGACGCTTGTCCTCAATTTTGAGCCTCTGCTCTTCATATCTGTAAAACTTCTCTTCTGTGTCCACACTCTGCTGCAGGAACTTTTCCATCATTTTATCCAATGTCAAATTTGCATGGCGTTTTTTTGATCTTTTGGGCTGACTGAGAGGTGGGGTAATAGTTGGAGTATTGATTTCTTTAAATCCTAAAACAAGAAAAGAGACAATTATTTTTCTGAAGAAAAATAATTTTCTAGGAAGAAAGTAGCAGAAAAACCCAACTCCCTATCAGATGTGCACCCAATTGTTACACTTTTTCAATGTGAATTGTAATTATCTCACATATTTTTAATTCAGAGTACCAAAGTAATACCACAAGCTTCTAAAAAGTTAAAGGTAACAAAAATTACATAGAGGCATATTTTAAATGTTGTAGTACTAAACTTCAACAATAGGAGTCTTTTTGATCTTCTAAAAAGGTTTAAGTGAAGGCTATTAAATAGTATAGCCTCATTTGTGTATTGCAGGTAATTACATTAATCTAAATTGAGTTTCAGTCTGTTGGCATTCTGGATTTGCATTTCAAAGGAACATTAGCGTAAACAACTCTTTGATGGGGTTTATGTGTAAAAAGAAGGTTGGTTAAACGTCAGCCAATTGGCTGATTCCTCAGTGATGTCAACTTCTGAAGACAGGTTCATGTTTGTATGAAAACCACGGCATTAATCTAAATTTAAAACAAACAAATAACACTACCCCCCCCCCACACACACCTTCACAACACAAATAAAGAGCTGAGGGTAAAGAACGACGAAGGAAAGGGCAGGCTTTATCTAAGGGCTGTTTCTATCCGCAAGCCCGCTGAAGTCAGAGCGGTTTTTCTGAAACAACTCAAGCAATTAATTACGCAAAAGCTCTCCCGTAGCTTTCTGGCCCATCTGCAACAATAAGCAGATTTTTCAGGTATTATCGTCATCGTCGTTTTAATACCGATTAACAAAACAGCACGGTCTGCAGGGTACGGAAAAAATCCTCCAGCGAGAAGGATGCCCGTTTTCTTGCGCGGTGCTACCTGACACTTTGCCTTGGTTATCTCCGCGCTAGTTTTCCATTGGTTTCCCACCGATAAAAACTCACTACGCTCTCCGTCTCCGAGCATCTGTCCCTACCCGGCTTGCGGCATCTCCCACCCCTCACAGAAGCCCGCTCCTCTTCCAGCGGCGTTTGCGAGGTGGGAGCGGGGAGCAAGGTGCCGGAGGCGGGGAGTACCATGGGCAGATTTCGGGGCGCAGAGGTCGGGGAGAGAGGGAGGAGGATAA